ATATATATTTCGAATTATGGAAAATATTTTTCCCAGTTTAAATGTAATACGTAATCCAATGTATTATTGGTCGATTGCTAGCGGTTAAATTATGATAATCGAATTAAGATCTATCTTATCAGAGTCAAAGATGTATCTTATTATTATTATTATTATTATTATTATTTTCGTACTATTATTAAGCAAAGTTTGTACGGAAAGAAGAATCTTAGTTGCTTCAAGTTTGTTTTATAGATTTTTTTCTTAAGAGATACTTTTAAAACATTTAATGAAGTAACTTTCCCATTGTATTCATTCAATTAAAGCAAGACTCGTCGCATAATGCAAAGAAAAACAGAAAAAGGTGTCCAATGAATTTTTTCTTTTTTAATCTATAATAATATAAGAAAATTAAATTTTGACAGAAAAATTATCACAATCGAAAATTAAACGTTAAACATTTATTGCTCAATTCTATCGATAATAATATCAGTTATACGAAAAACGGTCTGAATAGAAACGAATCTGATCGCGAATCACCAAAGTTGGGCAAAGTTGAGATTAATGAATTTGTGAAGGAGAGGGGAGGGGATTTGAAGTTAAAACGAAAGGGGTGGAACGGGGGTGGAGAGGAGGGGGTCGCGTTTATTCCGTTGGACTGTTTATCGACGCGGACCGTAATTATTTCGCGTTCAGAGTTAATTCATCGCTCAAAGCTGTTCTCTTGGTTGAAAATTACTCTGCAAATGGTTTCTGTTTCACGATCTTGATAAACCCTGGTGATTGTTATCTGATACGCTTTTAATGAGAGTGTCAGTGTTCACCTCCCTGTGTTCAGATCCGTGCATGTAATGCGTTTCATTGAATCTAGGTTTAACCCTTTCATCCCTAAACACGGCAGTTATCCAATCTCATGTTGTTCCCTGTACGCTCGATTCTCGCATAAATTCAGAGAGAAGTGGAAAAGGATTTCTTTTTTCGAGAATATATCGTTTGAAGTCGTCTTTAGATTATATTATATTAAAAAAACACTCTTCTTACGTTTCTAATATACACTGTGTTGAACTTACTTTTCCCTCACAACTTTGGAATATTCTTCAATTTTCGATTTTTTCTATTAATCTATGATTGAACAAAAAATATTTTTTGCACGCACTTAACATGTTTCGATCGTCAACAATCAGTCATAACATTGTATATAAAATATTAATTCGTGTAATAATAACTCGTGTAATAATAATCGATCGACGATCGATATTATATTTTTTTCTAAAAATCGTTATATTTTCTAATACTTTGATATTTATTAAAGGAAAGGGAACGAGGATTTATTCGATGCGCACTGTTCCACGGTCGAGGAGATACTGTTTCGAATTAATAAATAGAAATGGATTTAAACCGATTATACTTTATGCCCTCGAGTTTAAATCCTTTGTTTTCAATATTTCTTATATCGCTCTCGAAACACGTGTACGCGCGACCGAATTTACGGCTTGCCCCGTGTCTCCTCCAAACGAGTGCACGTACCGTTTTATAAATCTTGCCAAAGGGTGTGGTCTGTTAGACGGTAACTGGATCCGACAATGATTTATTAATCCGATGGAATACCTGTGTAAACGTAACAAGGGTGTATCTATTTTTGAAACGTTATTCATCCCCCTTGGATGGAATAATGTTAAATTCGAATGTTTACGAAAAGAAAGCCAACCCTTGTTGAATTATTGCGATCAGCGACTTCGTAATTTAATATGATTATGACGTTACAAAAATATCTATAAAGGCAATTTTTAAGCTATGAAAAATTAAGATTTTTCTTATCTTTGTGCCTTGCCCTTGTTATTATTTATTTGTTGTTATTTTTGTTGTTGAGAGTAACAAAGAGATGATTGGATAATATTTTACGAGTTTTTCGAGAGAGGGATTTATTCTGATAATTTTGAAGAAAGTCGAGTGTTTCGACGCTACACCGGTTCGACTACGTTAATCGATAACGACAAAGGGTTTCTAAAGTCGGAACTAGGGTAACAATGAGGTTACGCTTGGAGACGAACTTTCGAAATCGTGCGGTTATGAATCATTGAACGATTTTCATTGCATAAAGGCAATATCGATTACGTTGACCAAACTAATTTAACGCGTGGCATTGAATTCTTGATGGTGATCGATCGATTTGATCGAGGAACGAAAATGATTGGATAAAATTTAGAAGTAAAGCTTGTTACGTACACAGGGCTTTCTCTCGAATCGAAATTTCAATTTTCGACGATCATTAATTATTATTGTATTATTGTAAATTTATTAAAGTTATTAAAGTTATTAAATTTATTAAAGTTCATTCGAAAGTATGAAGAATTTCAGAGTCAGAGTCATGGATGATTAAAATATTTTTCGTTTTGATTTTCTCTTAATACAAGTGCAAACTTGAGATGTATGTTTTACGATATAATTGTATAATAGTTATAAAATCGAAGATTTTTATAACGATGAAATTAATTAACGACAGGGAAAAATATATCAACAATCATTTGGAAATTAATTAAATTATACTTCGAAACTTTTGATAATTTTGAATTAAAATTTTATTAAATTTTAGGAAATTGAAATTTAACGAATTGAAATGTTTCTCTTTTACATCGAATTGCTTCGATAAGAATTTTTTTTGCAGCATATATGGAGGGAATGAATTCGATCTTCTTATTTTATAGAAGCGATGCTTGATTCGTTTATTAGATCGTTAAACCGTTCCAAGAATAGAACGAAGAATAATTGGCTAATCAGTGTGAATTTCCTTGAACTGAGATTGTATATTCGATGCATTATTATTTAGAATTCGACTATTGTCATAAATACGACATAATAAATTTACATTTTAAAATAAATTTAATAATAATCCTACATAATAATGAGCTCGTCTAAAATATTCATTGCTGTGTCCTCGATTAATTCCAAAAATTAATTAAAAATATTAAATTAATTATGATTTTATTACACGAAATTTTGAACCGACGTAACATGAAAATGATAATGCGCATTAATATTTTCAATTTTCCGCACAATCTATGTAAATATTCCATCCTCGTAGAAATTAATTTTCATCCCGTTTATTATAATACTCCCACTAGAACTAAACACTACAATACTAAATTCTTACTTTAACATGATTTAAATCTTTGAAACGTTACACATTCAAGCACTTTATATATTTCAATAAATTACTAACACAAATTATTATAACGTACCAATAACGCCAAAATCCATTTTATAAAAAATTATAAAAAATATTTCTAATTGAAATTGTATACGAAACATAAAAAAAAAAAAATTAAATTCTCTAAAAGATTAAATTCTCAAATCTATTCAACCCCTTTTAATTATCTTCGAAAAATCAACCCTCTTGGAAAACTTTTCAAGCCCTTACCCCAACTTTTCTCCCCCACGCACACATTGAACCCTCTGTCGAGGAAACGAAATCGATGGAAGGCTCGATACGCCTGCAAAACGAGCCACTTACGAGGAAAGTTTCCGCCGGATGTCCCTCACCGGCCGGAAACCACGCGAGATCTCGATCGCTCTCGATCATCGTAATCGCGATTTACTGCTCGTCTCGACGCCGTAATAAACAATATTAACGCACACGCGCGTTCAATTTAACCGATTTAACGCTCGTCATCAACGTTCGTGAATGACAAACGACGCACGCCATCCCTCGATTCGATCCTCGCTCAAATTTGAATTCAATTTCATCTCGCTTCATTTTTCGATCGACGGATGGTAAGGTAGATAGAAGCGTTCGATGATTGTTAATTAGGTGAAAATTCTGTGTAGAAAATGAAGAATTTGTTCATAAGAAAAAAAAAAAAAAAAAATTAGGACGTATAATGGATTGCATCGATGTGTGTAATTATTTTAATTGCGGTAAATTCAGGATGCATTTTCCAAGAATGGTTATGAGATTCTTAAATGGAAATTTCTTGTTCTCTCATTTTCCTGAGATTTGGGTTATATTATGCGTTGGAGCTGGATAATTATGTTTATAAAAAGTAGGTGATATTGTATACAAGATGCACATCTTCATTTCTCGAGATCTTAAGTCTTTGATAAGATATCTGATTTTTTGGTAAGTAAAGTGAAAAACTTTCTTGATAAATAGATTGGAACTTGATGAGTTTACGTTGAAAAAAGTTTAAGATGTATGAAAATTAAGAAATTAATTTTAACTGGTATATTAATTAATAATTTTTACTTTCTGCTTATTATGAACGTTAATAATTATTTATTATGGTGGTTTTCTTTGAGAGAAAAGAATATAACTGTACGATAGTATGCATCACAGTAGCAGAGATATAGCAATTATCAGGCATTAGAGTCAGGCCAGTTACAGTGGAATATATATTGCGATAATCAGACGTTACATAGCTAATTGAGCTCGTGAATTTTTATTAAAGGAGAAGTAAAATAAAATGTAAAACTGAAATTAATTAATGTTAAACTCTTACGACAATTTAATTTAATTATTCTCGTAATAAAATATTCAACTTCCTACTATAAAAATATATATATATATTATTTATTTGAAAAACAGCTATTCTGAAGCTACTTGAATTGGAAATATTTAAATAACAGGTAATTACTTTCACGATATTTTTTAAAATCTTGCCAATCTTAAAAGATTATTATTACTCATTGAAATAACTTTTTCGTAACAAACGAAACAGTTAAATTAAGAACACACAGATCCTCAAATACTTAGACTTAAAGGACTTAAATCTTTTATTTAACCCATTTATCATCAAACCTATTATCATTCACAAATATTTCCTCTCATCATCATCTGTTATATCTCGCAATACGTCGAATACAATAATAAAAAAAAAAGAAACATTTACAATTTTTCAATTCTCTCTTCCTACCTCTCACATCTCAAAATCTCTTCACCATCTTTCTTCTCGAATCGCCACGCCATTTCGAAAAAAAAAAAAATGACCCTCCTCATCGATCTCACAATCTCGATTCCCATTCAGACAACAGGTTCCGACATTTTCGCACCGATCTGTATCTCGGCGATGATCCAATTTCAACGGTGGCTGCGGGCGAGGAGAGGGCGGCGAGGGATCGGGTGAGGGCGCGCAAGAGGATCGGCGAGCTGAAGAAGCGAAGGAAGGCGAAGGAGAGGAGGCAGAGGATGAGGAACGGGGGCGAGAAGTCGGCGGTCGAGCCGCCTCAGGCTTTGCCACGCGCGGCATTGAATGAAACAATAATGTCGAGGCTGGATCTGAGCTGCATCATGAAAGCTCGAAGGAAAGGATTTACCAAAGCTCCCCCCGTCGAGAACGCGTATCCCGCCAAGTATGCCAGGTTCGTACACGCGTGTTTCTCTCTTTTCCAAATGAAATGGTTTTCTTTATCATTTTCTTAATTTCGTAAATTGTAGTTTCGTTTTATTTACTTTCATTTATTCCTCTTCTTAACGGCCACAGTTGACGATTCACGTGATTTATTAATAAAGTTTATAGAAGCTTATTTGGAAAAGTTTCGGTGACGACGTTTTGCATCGTATGCATGCAAATTCTAATCTATCCAACTTCTCACGATCCCATGGATTATTAGCTTAAGTCGATCTCGCTTATCTAGCCTTGTTATTATCATATTCCTACGAGTTGAAATTACCTATCAAGGATCTTTCTACATGGTTCGATGGAAAGCTTTCGTATCATCGTGTGGGAAAATACGTAATCTAGCTCGATTCTATATTACTTAAATCTTGTCGCAATTCTATTAACATTATATCGATACTGATTAATTTAATGTATTAAATTAAATCATTATTAATATCGGTGTTTCGTTAGATTTATCAAAACGAGTTTAAAACATTTCTTTCGCGACGATCAAAGTGAACTTGAAAATATTATATCTTGCACAATTTTCTTTTCTCTGTCTCCATTGCCTGTTAAAGTGATTCTATGTCGAAGCTTATAAGTTACGTTCGCTCCTTGGAGAGATATTAATGTTTCCATTCGATTTACCAGTGTGTCGTACCTTTTATTTTCCAGTACTTTATTTCTTTCTTTCTTTCTTTTTTTTTCTTTTTTTTTTTTTTTTCCTAGAAGGAAGAGCGTACTACCGCCGTACAATCGATACCTGGTGGCAGTTTACGAGTGCACCGAGGGATACGTTTTCGAGGACTCGACGACTGATCGACTTTTCTGCAGCGATGGCACTTGGTTAGGCGCACTTCCGCGTTGCGTAAAAGTGGAAGGTAAAGATAAAGAAGTGGAGGAGGAGAGGCGATATTTGTCAAAATATTTGTTCCACGGATTGGGAACAATTTAAAGAAAAAAAAGAGAAGAGAGGAAATTTTTAGTCTTTAAATTTTTTTTATCGATCAACCTGTAATGGTATTTACTTCTCCTCCCGACTTTTGCGAAAACCGTAAACGAGATTGAAATAACTTTCACCGCGCTGAAACTTTTTCGTTTACTTTCAAAAAGTTGAATGGACTAAATTTTTTTTTTCCTCTAACCCGGCCGAATATCGGCGGGGGATATTCGAGCAAAGTTTTTAAATTTCTGTTGCTAAAGTATCGAGATTGTTTTCTGCAAATCTAAAATCGTAATTTAGCAAGGATTTAGGAAGCCGATCGAAGATGTCAAATTGTCTCGCTTAATTCTAAAAGTTTCTTTATCGTTTAATTAAGTTAATGCTAAATTATTATTCATTTAATTTATTTAATTTATTTGTTTGTAAATAATAATAAACAGATCCTTTGATTGAATTATTTTCAAAGAACGTTGATTGATCAGTTCTTTCTCGATGCGCGTCATTGAAAAAAACTTCTCGATATTTTCTGTCCGACAATTGTTATCCCCTTAAAAGGAAATGTACATCTTCCAAATTTATACTTTGTTATTACTGTAACAAAAAATGTTCTTTGTGCTACAAATTAATTTCCATATCTCCATATGCAGTTGAACTTCATCTTTCAGAATTTTGCATAGAAATTCCTTTCAAAGAAGGGGGGAGACGAGAGAGAGAGAGAGAGAGAGAGAGAGAGAGAGAGAGAGAGAGAGAGAA